TAAACAGCCATCAGGTGCTAATGATCCATTGTTAGGCTGATGGTCCTCCATCATGTGAACAGCTGGTTCTGGATGTCACCACAAACTGGTTGATCCACTCTGAGAAGGTGCTAATTACAAAACTGAGTTTGTTGCAGCTCCTCAGACTGAATAAGTCTTTTGGAAAAAAGCTGAAACGTTTCCACAAAGAAGAATCCGTCCAGAGGACCTCACCTGACTTGACCTTTTTTAGATGTATCTACTTGGATTATTGAGCGTGCATCAGGACGACGTTAGGAGTGGTTAATGCAAGCTTTGACCTGAGGCCATGCGTGCAGTTGGTGAGACACTCTGGAAATCATTAGGCTGAACTACGCTTAAAACAAGCTGAGAACATTAAAGTGAGGAACAGTTAATCACACAGACGTAACAATTTTCACTGGCCTACACGATGCCACACAGCTATTTTTTCTTCTTTCGGCTGCTCCCGTTCTCTGGGGTTGTTACATTGAACTAACTCGCACAAAGACGTCAATTGTTTTTACGCGGGATGCCCTCCCCAACGCAAACACAGACCATCGAGCTGCCACAGCCCTTGGTGTGGAGCAGAGAGCTGCCATCTAGCAGATGGTGGGGGTTAAGGGCCTTGTGGGGCAAATGAGGGTGGAGGCAGGTATGGGGGTTTCACCTTTCCCACCCACATTTGGATGTTGTCAGTCAAGGGCTAGAAGAGGTGACCTTCCGATCACAGGCCCACCTTCTCTAACCTCTGCGCCACCAGCAGGTAATATTCACAACAAAACTACTGAACTATCCATACCATGCCTCTAGGTGGTGGTGGTGGTGGGGGTGGTGGGGGTGTGTGCATCCACATTAACAATACATACCATATATATACAGGTGCTGGTCACAAAATTAGAATATCATGAAAAAGTTGATTTATTTCAGTAATTCCATTCAAAAAGTGAAACTTGTATATTATATTCATTCATTACACACAGACTGATATATTTTAAATGTTTATTTCTTTTAATGTTGATGATTATAACTGACAACTGATGAAAACCCCAAATTCAGTATCTCAGAAAATTAGATTATGAAAAGGTTCAATACTGAAGACACCTGGTGCTGCACGCTGATCATTAATTAACTCAAAACACCTGCAAAGGCCTTTAAATGGTCTCAGTCTAGTTCTGTAGCTACACAATCATGGAGAAGACTGCTGACTGGACAGTTGTCCAAAAGACGACCACTGACACCTGCACAAGAAGGGCAAGACACAGAAGGTCATTGCTAAAGAGGCTGGCTGTTCATAGAGCTCTGTGTCCAAGCACATTATTAGAGAGGCGAAGGGAAGGAAAAGATGTGGTAGAAAAAAAGTGTACAAGCAACAGGGATAACTGCACCCTGGAGAGGATGGTGAAACAAAACCCATTCCAAAATGTGGAGGGTTCACCAAGGGGCCGTTTACACGGAGTGTATTTTGAGTGAATCTGCAGATTTCTCTGAGGTTCTGCTGATCATTTACATGACACCAGTGCCCCCCTCTTTGAACCTGGAGGTTTCTGAACCCACCTTCCAGAGTGGAGGTTTTTCTCTGATGATGTAACATCTCCCGCTGAGGCTTTGTGTTAAACCACATGCACACGCACGCGCGGACAGACGCTATATTTCTATCAACGTGGCGGCGGATACACTGCTTTCAGAACTACGACTGATGGAATATATTTTTAATCTCATAGTTAATCTACGTCAGATTCTGGTGCTGTGACCGACATCTGTGTTGGAAGAGACACAGTCTGATCCAGTTCTAATGTTGCTGTTTATAGAACGAGGCACGTGCACACGTCACGCTGCACTATAACATCCAAATGTGCTAAATAATAAGTTTAGCAATAATAAACAGTATTTATCTTAAGTTTGAGAAATATAATGAAGCTCTCTGAGCTAAATAATCTATCTGGACATTATGTAATTCAGATTATGTGATTAAAATGATGCTAAACATATTGCGTGTTATTAAAGTTGAAAATGAAGACATCAGGTTTAATTTTTATTTATTCAACACCACAAACTGTTTGTCACACAAACACTGATAATTAAACTGAACACACTATTAAAACAAGTTAACTGTAAACTGCGTTAATGAACTGGACTCTTGTTTTCATCCTGGATGTCCCACGTTGTTCATCTGGCTCGTTCAGGCTGTCACTGCTTGGATTAATGCAGATTAAAACATTTAATGTACTGAATATAAGAACTGAGGGGAAGTTTAAATAAATAGTTCATCCAACATCTCTCTTCGACGTCCTCCTGCACCTGGGCCGAGCCTCGTTCAGAACCAGCCCGGCTGTGGGAGACAGCTTCTTCTTCTTTCAGGAAAAATAAAAACTCTGTTGTTTTGTAACATAAGTAAACACAAGCTAACATTATTAAGAACATTTGATTTACCTGCTGTAAATTAGCTACTGATGATCACGGAGTAAAGTCCAACATCGTCTTCCTTGTTGACAGTCATGTCAAACTGGTTGAAAACAACAAAGTCCATGCTCAATAATCCAGGTATAAAATCCAACATTTTTCAGTCAGGTCATCTTTTATACCTGGATTATTGAGCATGGACTTTGTTGTTTTCAACCAGTTTGACAAGACTGTCAACAAGGAAGAGGGCCGGCAATGGAGGAGGGGCGTACCAAAGAGACCATCTTATCACAAGCAGCACTGGTTTGTTCCACTTTGGAGTAAGATGTTGGGGGAAGAATCAGTTTTGTTTTGTGCTTCCTTGACTGATGAAGCCTTCTGGATGGAAGGCAAAATGTTTCAGGACAAAAAAAGAAACTGTCCAGATGATCTGACTGAAAAATGTTGGGTTGAACTTAAAGCCTCGCCCCCCTGGTGCGCAGACATTAGTCCCAAAAATACTACGTACCACCTGCCATAAACTTGGTTCTGCTGGCATCATTTCCCAGCAATGAGAAAAGGGGGGGGGGGGGGGACTAGTATTTTTATACATGTCAATGGCACCCATCCATAAATAACTAAAACATATTGAAAAGAAAACAAAAAGTCCCATGCTATGTAAGATATTTTACATGCATTCACAATTTTAACACAGTCTAAAACCATTAAGAGACAATAAAAAAATAGGTTAATTCAATTAATTTAGCAAATAATTATACTGACCGCCGGTCATGTTGTATAGGTTAATGCCTAGTGCACAAGTTAATACTAGTTATTACCTAGTATACAAGCCAATAAATGTGTACATGATAATCCTGGCCAGTAACTGGTGAACAGGCCTATTCAGGGCAACACCTAGTGCACAGACTAGCAGAGGCTAATTTCAGGTCTACAGAGCATACCTGGTATCCAGGAAGTGTGCGTACAGCTTCCACAATGGCTAAAGCAGCCAGATGCTGCAGGAAAGGAATTCTCTGTCCAAGTCTGGAGCTCAGTTTGACCTGGACACTAATGGTGAACATGGCACAACCTGGTGGGCTGAGCCAGCTGTTCCTGCCCCGGCCTGAATCAGCAAGAAAACAAATGTAAGACAGATATAAGCATCTTCTATAAATGAAAATTAATGTGCAGATATGGACTCTGGTCAAGCACTAACCTCTTCCCTTAGTTTGTCGAGCAGATATTGCTATTAAACCCACATCGTTTGGTAACTTCAAGACCAGCCTGCAGAAGAAATGGATAAAGAAAAAAGAAGGTCAATGGTAAATGGACTGTACTTATACATCACCTTTCTATCTGATCAAGATACTCAAAGCTCTTTACACAACAATCTGTGTCTCATTTACCCATTCATACAGCTCTATACTAGATCTCTACAAAGCTAATTGAACAAATCATTCTAAAGAGACTAATCAGAGCTTTATCACATTCATACACTGATGGGACACACATCAGAGGCTATGAGGGGTTCAGTGTCTTGCCCAGGGACACTTTGGCATGTGACTGTTGGTGGATGCAAACCCCCAACTTTTGCATTGGAGGACGACCGCTCTAACCACTCAGCCACAGTATCTTTATTTTAAAAAAATTAATTTCTTTTGCTTTTTGTTAACTGACAGAGAAATAAGTACAGAAAGCTACACTGCCTGGCCAAAAAGAAAAAGTCACCACTTGGATTTAAGTAAGCAAATAGGTTTGAGCCTCCTGTTGGATAATTACTGCAAGGGCGATTATCTTGGTGCAATGAGTTGCTTCTCATTTCTTAAACAACCATGTCTAAAGACTCATGGCGTGATCGTGGAAAAGATGTCAGTCTGTTTGAGCAGGGTCAAATCATTGGCATCAAGCAGAGGAAACATCTAAGGAGATTGTAGAAATGACTAAAACTGAGAATCTTCACCAGCTTCCTGAAATTGTGTCACAGGACCATAAAGCAGTGGCAAGAGGTTCAATTGCCAGGTCAAAGAGGGCTCAGTGGGCATCCCTGGTGATTTCTTCGATGTGCACTGAATGGTTTAGATATCTGAAAGTTGGTACAAATGGTTGCAGTGGGATGTAAATAAATTAATTGCACCCATGTAATGAAATTAGGGCCAAAACCATATTTGTCAAGAACATTGAACAAGTAGTCCCATTCAACAGGATCAAATGCTTTCTCCACGTCAAGGGAGACGACACACTCAGGGACAGTATCAGAAGGAGAATAAATAATGCCAAAGAGTCAGAGTCAAGAGGTTTTTTTTTATTTACTGTTGTTATGAAATTATGTACACTGGGTCCCAGTTCCATCCCACAATAAAATGTAAAAGAAAAACAGTAATAAGATTTAAGATATGAACTAAGAAAAACAAACTAAAAATACAATAAGCACTAATGCATAAAAACAATATGCCAAACAGCAGCACGAACATGAGTCTGTGTGAGCAGATGAGCACGAATGAACACATCAACATGAAACAGATCAGCAGCAACATGAAACAGATCAGCAGCAACATGAAACAGATCAGCAGCCACACGATGTGATTTTTCACAATGATTATTTTTATAATTACTGGTAAGTGAGGTTGGTGAGGGTCCTCGTTGATGTTGATGGTTGTTTTGATGTAGGTCATGACCAGTTTTCGAAGCATTAGCGACTATCGGGGTGAGGGCCACTGGCAGATAGTCATTCAGACCAGTCACTATAAAGCTCTTTGGGACTGGGATGATGGTGGCAGTCTTCAGGCAGGTGGGAACTGTTGCCAGGGTAAGTGAGGAGTTAAAGATGTCGGCCAGCACCTCGCAGAGCTGATCGGCACATTCTTTCAGCACCTTCCTGGGAATGTTGTCTGGGCCAGTTGCTTTGTGAGGGCAAATCCTCATGAAGGTACTCCTTACTTCGGCTGAGGTCACACTGAGAAGCTCTTCCTCCGGTGGTGAGGTGAGTCTGGTGCTGGGTGGTCTGTTCGGGACACTTGATATTAAAAAAGCACTGCCAGCCTTTAATGAATCCAGTATGGTCTTTTGTTATAATAAAAAGAAGGGTCTTTTCCAACCTTTGAGCAAGAACAACAAAGTCCATGCTCAATAATCCAGGTGTACAATACAACAGTTTTGAGTCAGGTCATCTGGACAGTTTCTTTTTTTGTGCTGAAACGTTTCACCTTCGATCCGGAAGGCTTCATCAGTCAAGGAAACACACAACAAAGCTGATTCTTCCCCCAACAGCTTACTCCAAAGTGAAACAAACCAGTTATGTTGGTGTTAAGATGGTCTCTTTGTCATGCCACCTCCTCCATTGCCAGCCTTTGAGCAAAAACTTTGGCTAGAATTTGACACAACTTCCAAACAAAGACCGAAAGAAAGATGAGAAAGACATCAAAATTGTAGCCTCTAGCCGAAAAGAAACATGACAGCAGTCACTGAACTCAACTCTGTATGAAGCAGAAGATGTTCAGTTCCTGGGAGTACTTTCAAGTGTACTCAGGGAAATTTGTGAGTTAAATAAAACTCTTTCAGAGAAAATTGACTCGAACTCAGAACAGCTCCAAACTTCCATCAGTAGCGTGAAGGCTACGTTGGATAAACTGCTGACGAGGGTAACGGAGGCTGAAAATCCAATCAGAGACACTGAGGACGCAGTAAGTGATCTGAAACACCAAACAAAGCAGCTTAAAGTGATAACAGATTCCTTAAAAGAAAAATCAACCATCTTGAAAATCATAGCAAAAGGAATAATATACGAGTGGTGGGACTAAAGGAAGGCTCTGAGGGCTCTGATCCCGTGAAATTCTTCACAAGCTGGATACTGGAGATGCTGGAAGCTGGAGGCTCAGCAGCAGGAGGTGGAAATTGAACGCGCACACAGGACCGTGACTATGGAGCCCAGACCAGGTGAACCTCCTTGTATCACCCCCAGACCCGTTTTGATTTGTCTGCTTCGATTTCAAGATCGAGAGAAAATTTTGGCTTTGGCCAAAAAGAGAGGAAATATCTGCTTTGACAATATGAAAATCAACTTATTTCCTGATACGAGTCCGGAATTAGCGAAATGCAGCTAAATAACTCATCCCGGCGCTGCAAACAATCAAAGCAAGAAACATCCCCTGCTACCTCATCTATCCCGCACGCCTGAAGGTCCAGCCGGACCCGCTTTTTTGACACAGCCGAGAAAGCCTTTACATTTCTCAACAACCAACATCAGAGTCAGAGTCAGAGTCAGAGTTTCTTTATTGTCATTCGCACCTCATGTGGTACATGTGGTGGAGCGAAATTATGTACACAAGGTCCCAGTTACATCCAACAATAAAATGTATAAGAAAAACAGTAATAACATCTAAGATATGAACTAAGAAAAACATCAACTAAATATACACTAAGCACTCATAACATAAAAACATTGAACATCAGCACAAACATGAACATGAGTCTGTGAGCAGATGTGCACGCATGAACACATCAACATTGAAACAGATCAGCAGCAACATGAAACAGATCAGCAGCAACATGATATGGTTTTTCACAGTGATTATTCTAGTTAGAGATTCATGAGTCTAACAGCCTCAGGGTAGAAGCTGTTCCTCAGTCTAGTGGTTCTACACTTAATGCTCCTTAACCTCCTTCCTGAGGGGAGTGGGGCAAAAAGTGTGTGTGCTGGGTGGGTGGGGTCCTTCATGATGCAGGTGGCCCTCTTCCTGCATCTGGAGGTGTAGATGTCTGTGATGGTGGGGAGACTGACTCCAACAGATTTCTGTGCAGCCTTCACCACTCTCTGCAAAGCTTTTCTTTCTGCAGCTGTGCAGCCTCCATGCCACACATTGATGCTCGAGCACAGGATGCTCTCCACTGCACACCTGTAGAAGGAGGTGAGGACTGAGCTTCCCAGACCAGCTCGCCTCAGCCGTCTGAGGAAGTAGAGTCTCTGATGAGCTTTCTTGATCAGGCTGGTGGTGTTGTTGCTCCAGCTGAGGTTGTCATTCATGTGTACACCCAAGTACTTGTAGCTGGAGACCACTTCCACCGCAGATCCTCTTATGTTCAGGGGGGTGTAGGTGTTTTTGTTCCTTCTGAAGTCCACAATCATCTCCTTTGTCTTCTTCACATTGATGTGAAGGTTATTCTCTCTGCACCAGCTCTCCAGGTGTTCCACCTCCTGCCTGTAGCTGGACTCATCATTGTTTGTGATGCATCCCACCACCGCTGTATCATCTGCAAACTTTACAATGTGACAGCCTGGATGGGTAGCTGCACAATCATATGTGAGCAGAGTAAACAGGAGGGGGCTCAACACACATCCCTGAGGAGAGCCAGTGCTGAGGGTTATGGTGGAGGAGGAGAGGTTGTGGATCCTCACTAACTGTGGTCTGTTTGTTAAAAAGTCTAGTACCCAGTTGCAAATGGAGGGGCTTAGTCCTAGTGTGGATAGTTTGTCCATCAGGGTTTGGGGGATCATGGTGTTGAAGGCGGATGTGAAGTCCACAAAGAGCATACGGACGTAAGAGTTTTTCTGCTCCAGGTGGTTGAGTGCAGTGTGGACCACAGAGGAGATTGCATCCTCTGTTGATCGGTTCTCACGGTATGCGTACTGATGAGGGTCCTCGTTGATGTTGATGGTTGTTTTGATGTGAGTCATGATCAGTTTTTCGAAGCATTTAGCGACTATCGGGGTGAGGGCCACTGGCCGATAGTCATTCAGACCAGTCACTGTAGAGCTTTTTGGGACTGGGATGATGGTGGCAGTCTTCAGGCAGGTGGGAACTGTCTCCAGGGTAAGTGAGGTGTTAAAGATGTCTGCCAGCACCTCACAGAGCTGATCAGCACATTCCTTCAACACTTTTCCGGGGATGTTGTCTGGGCCAGTTGCTTTGTGCGGATTAATCCTCCTGAAGGTACTCCTTACTTCTGCTGAGGTCACGCTGAGATGCTCTTCATCCGGTGGCGAGGTGAGTCTGGTGCTGGGTGGTCTGTTCGGGTCTTCAAAGCGTGCATAGAACTTGTTGAGGGCATCAGGCAGAGATGGGTCTTTGGGACATTGTTCACTCCTTCCTTTATAATCTGTTATGCACTTAATGCCCCTCCACATGCTCCGAGGGTCTTGTGAGATGAATTGACCCTCGATCCTCTTTGCATATGTGGCCTTGGCCCTCTTACATGCCTGCTAGATCCCATCATGTCTTTAATGGTTATGTACCACAGAGCTTTAAGGTTGCTGTAATTAAACCTTTACTTAAGAAGTCTGACCTTGA